AAGTAGACCAAAATACCGCAGAGCAACATTCGGGCAGCGTGTGACGGTTTTCATTGGTCGTTTGAAGGCAATAATTCGTGCCAATGGTGATCAATTCGAACAAATCTAAACTTATCCTAACATTTGATGCTATTTACGACATTTTTATACCATCGACCATACTATGGAGAGTGTATTAATTTTGTCATTCCGCTTGTAACTCCTCGAAATACTCATGTCAGACCCAACAAAGTATATATATTCTGGATCAGCGTAAAATTCTAAGACGATTTTTAGACGATGTCCGGATATTCGTTATTTTGATGATTTTAGCGACTTTATTCGCCGGAATTGTTTCCAATTTGGCATTTGAAGTTCGTTTTGGATACTACAGTCCATGCCAGAAAATTGTCTGTGCAGGTCCACGTCTTCGTATAGCCCCCATACAACCGTAATCCCCGATATTCGGTATTTTGATGATTTTAGCGACATTATTTACCGGAATGGTTTCAAATTTGGTATTTGAAGTTCGAAATGGATACTACAACCTAAGACAAAAAATGAGCCATGTAGGTCCACGTCTTCTTATAGCCCCCATATAACGGTACCCCCCGATATTCGGTATTTTGATGATTTTAGCGACATTATTTACCGGAATGGTTTCATATTAGGCATTTGAAGTTCGTTTTGGATACTACAACCTAAGTCAAAAAATGAGCCATGTAGGTCCACGTCTTCGTATAGCCCCCATATGCCGTACCTCCGATATTCCGTATTTTGACGATTTTAGCTACATTATAAACAGATTTTGCTTCAAGTTTCGCATTTAAATATTGTAATAACTTATGACAAAAGTTGCCTATGCAGGTCCACGTGGTCGTATAGGCATTCGGTATTTTTAAGATTTTAACAGAATTTTTACGGATTTTATTATTATTATTATTTTTTTTTTTTTTGAAAACTGCCAAATTTGTATCAAATGGTGGAGGGTATTAAAAGTTCGGCCCGTCCGAACTTACAGCTTTTTTTTACTTGTTTGCTTTCATTCATTAAAATTGTTAAAAAGAAAAATGTAAAAATTATGGCGTTTGTCTTTGTTGCAGTTTTTTCGTGTCACCCTGCATATTGTCAAGAAATAGAATAACCAAAAGGCTTGAACTACATGCAAATCAACCGTGCTTTCATTAATTATCTCTCTCTTTTTTTGGCAATTCATACTCTCACTCTCTCCCTCTCTCTCGCCCCACTTTGAAGTGAGAAGTGAAATTATGTTTGGCCAATAAATTCAAATCGATTTCAATTGTTGTTCAATGATATATTGTGTATTTATATAGGAACAGCTATGGAATGACATCGAGGCTGGGTTGAATGGATTCGATGAAGTTTATGACCACCAAAATAATGCCAGCCAGCGGACTGGTTATGGGCCATAATGGGTATGTGTTTGTGGGTTGCCGGTGGGGTTGTGTGTGGTCTTAAAATATTTGTGTTCTTCTTTGCGAACACTTGATGCCAACGCTGATGTTGTTGTTGTTGATGATGATGACGATGACAATGACGTTGTTTGATTTGTCATAAATCATATCAAATTCATACTTACACTCATAAATATATAATAAAAATGCCAATAACAATAACAACAACAGCAATCATGATGACAATAGCAGCCAGAAAGCCAACATGTGTGCTAAATCGAATGACAGCAACAACAATAAAATCAACAATAATATCAACTCACATAGCCCTGACAACAACAACTTGGTTAGGGCCGTATAAAGAGAGCGAAAGAGAGAGAGCGAGAGATGGGGAGGCAGGGGGTTGTCAATAAACGACCGCTAAACGAGCAAATGACCCTAAAGCACATTTCAAATTATGCTGACAATCATTGATTGTTTTGTGGGACGACAAGTGAAGGGATAACAAAAAGAAAGCGAATTCTTAAAATCATCCGCCCTCGGGGCGCTTTGATTTCAATCATAAATTACAGAATGGGTTATACATCTGACTCCAATTGTGAATATCGAATCTTATTTTTTGGAATTCAATAGAGTCCAGTCATGTGGCAAACAACAACATGTGGGTGTGAGTGTGTGTGTGATCTGTCATGTTGTTGTCAGCCAGTCAACTAAATTGTCTGAGCAGAGACGATAAGGGTTTCAGATAGGGGTGAGATAAAAAACAGACTGCAACAGGGTCAAATTCAACCTTCCTGCTTGAAGTTCGTAATGGATACTACAGCCTATGACAGAAAATTGTCTGTGCAGGTCCACGTCTTCGTAAAGCCCCCTTTAACGGTACCTCCCGATATTTCGATATTTTTATGATTTTAGCAACAGTATTAACCGGAACTGTTTCAAATTTGGTATTTGAAGTTCATAATGGATACTACAGCGTACGACAGAAAATTGTCTGTACAGGTCCACGTCTTCGTATAGGCCCCATATATCCGAACCTTCCCATATTCGGTATTTTGATGATTTTAGCAACATTATTCACCGGAATTGTTTAAAATTTGGTATTTGAAGTTCGTAATGGATACTACAAGCTATGACAGAAAATTTTCTGTGCAGGTCCACGTCTTCGTATAGCCCCCTTTAACGGTACCTCCCGATATTTCGATATTTTGATGATTTTAGCGTCATTATTCACCGGAATTGTTTCAAATTTGGTATTTGAAGTTCGTAATGGATACTACAGCGTAAGACAGCAAATTGTCTGTGCAGGTCCACGTCTTCGTATAGGCCCCATATATCCGAACCTCCCCATATTCGGTATTTTGACGATTTTAGGTACAATACTCACCGAAAGTGTTTGAGATGTCGTATTTGAAGTTCGTAATAAATACTACAGCCTATGGCAGAAAATTGTCTGTGCAGGTCCACATCTTCGTATAGCCCCCCTATAACGATACCTCCCAATATTCGGTATTTTGATGATTTTAGCAACATTATTCACCGGAATTGTTTCATGTTACGTATTTAGAGTTCGTAATGGGAACTACAGTCTGTGACAGAAAATTATCTATGCAGGTCCAGGTCTTCGTATAGGCCCCATATATCCGTATCTCCCCATATTCGGTATTTTGAAGATTTTAGGTATAATACTCACCGAAATTTTTTGAGATGTCGTATTTGAAGTTCGCAATGGATACTACAGCCTATGACAGAAAATTGTCTATGCAGGTCCAGGTCTTCGTATAGGCCCCATATATCCGTATCTCCCTATAATCGGTATTTTGATGATTTTAGGTACAATACTCACCGAAATTGTTTGAGATGTCGTATTTGAAGTTCGAAATGGATACTACAGCCTAGGGCAGAAAAATGTCTGTGCAGGTCCACATCTTCGTAAAGCCCCCATATGACGGTACCTCCCTATATTACATAGTTTGATGATTTTAGCTACCTTATTCACCGTTTATTGCAAGTTTCGAATTTAAATATGGTAATGGCTTATGACAAACCATGCCTATGTAGGTCCACGTCGTATAGACCACAATATAACGGCTATATTCGGTATTTTTAAAATTTTAACAAATTTAAAGTTTTAAGGATTTAATTTTTAATTGAAAATTTCCAAATTTGTTCCAAATGGTGGAGGATGTTCAACGTTCGGCCCGGCCGAATTTACTGTTTTTTAACTTGTTTTTTTTTTTAATTTTATTGAATGAAAGCAAAAAATGTCGGAAATAGCATAAGATTTTGGAAAACGTTTAGATTTGTTCGAATTGGTATCCTTTGGCACGAATTATGGCCTTCAAAGGGCCAATGAAACCGTCACAAGCTGCCCGAATGTTGCTCTGCGGTGTTCTGGCCCATTTCCGACGAAGCGCTTGCTTAAGGTGATCGATACTTTGGTCTTTTTTTAGTTCCAACTTGGTTTCTAAAATACTCCAGACACAATAGTCCAACGGATTGGTATCCGGAGATTTTGGTGACCATTGTGCGCTGGAAATGTAGCGAGGAATGTCATTTTGTAACCATTCTTGGGTGGCGCGTGCTGAGTACGATGTCTGTGTGCCCAAGGCCATAATATACCCTCCAGAATATTTTCGCGATAATATTCGGCTTTTATTCTGATGCCACGGTCGATTAATACGAGCGGAGAGTGACCATCGGCTGTTACGGCTGACCACACCATCACCATGGCCAGCGCTTGAGTTCTGGTGGCCAACCGAAGGTGCATATTTTCAGCTGACCTCCTTGGCAAGTAAACACGATTATTTTGTTTGTTTATAAACTGCAGGACAACGAATGTTTTCTCATCGGAGCGGAGAAAACCATATTCGGCAGTTCACCACTTTCGGCCAAGCGAAGCAACTCTTTAGCTATTTTGCGTTTATTTCCTTTCTGCTGCCGTGTTAGTTCTTTCACTTTTTGGATTCTCAATGGCTTTATCCCGAGCTAATTTTTCAATATTTGCCGAATGGAATATGTGTGAGACAATAAACACACACACATTCACACACAGGCATGGATATGCTTTGTGGGTATGCAAGACCACTTGATTGGAGCGACAAACAGCCATGGAATTTCTCCATTCTCCACTCCACATTGGAATAGGTAAGAATAATTGTGTGACTACTGTGATCATGTTAAGTTAGATTAGTTTTAGAGGTACTTAAGGAAATTATAAAAAAAAACACAGATCGAATCGAATCTACGCCCTAAATAAGCGGTCGTGTTATTTTGTTCCCTTCTTACACTCCCACATGACCCCTTATGGATTGCCGACTCACTGGTTCCAATGTCTCTATTAGACCCATCATGAACTACTGATACAGTGGTTCTAATGTCTCCATTCATTGATTTATATTTCAATTATATAGAGATTACTGTTTAAAAAGCCATGCTTAAGATAACCTCCGTCGGGAGCAAAAAAAAAATAAAAAATAAATGCTAATAACCGCGAAATTCATTATAAATAAGCTCAAATTATCACGTATATATATATATATATATATATATATATATATATATATATATATATATATATATTTATATATATATATATATATATATATATTTTAGTTTTTCCAGCAGGAGAGAATGGTTGCCCTTAACCTGTATGTGGGTGAGTAATATGTAACGTTATTCATGCGGAATCCTAATAAAATTGATCTCGGATCCTAGGTTTTCCAGCTGTGAGTCTCAACCATATCGGGATTCCATGGAGCGGTTCACGTCTTTGATCTATAGGCTCTCTCCCTCTTGTTGCTTTGGACGTTCATCTCTAGATCATGGTATGTCCTTCCTTACACATCTGAGCAGGGGAGTTTTATCCACCAAATGATGGTTTGTATGACTACCACGATAGCAGCCAAGCAGGTTACGCAACGCAAGCATATGATTATGATAATGAAATACGAGAAGGAGGTTCGCCTCCTCATGTAGATCACGCAGTTCTCATGATGATTTATATTTGCAGACCACAGACCAACCCCTCGCGCTATTAGAGGTCAGCACCCTTAGTGCTGGCGGAAGCGCCTTGAGGGCTACTTCTTACTTTGCGGGCTGATAGCTAAGTTGCGCGGATTTGCGACTCGGACGACTTGAACATACTGTCGAATTTAACCCCTAGGATCTTGGCGTAGTTGGCGGTTGCTATTATATTTTCCCCGACCTGCATATTAAGAGTGTGGCCGTTGGTTTGATGGTGGATATTTTCATATTCCTCGCATGGAAGTAGGTAGACAAGCTCTGCGACGACACCGGTGCCGACGCCATGATCGTAATGATATCTATGCCGTATGCAGGGCGAGGAATTCCAAAAAAGGTAGAGACTAAACAGTTTTGGGAAACACTTTGTTTCACTCTACTTGCAGAAGTCCTTGGACTTCTTCTTCCAGAATTCCATGTACGCCTGACTGGTCCACACATATAGTTGATTATGCAACGTTTCAAACTTGGCCAGAGGGTAACTCGCTCTCTCTCTACCCCCTCTAACAGTGTGGGGTGGTTGACTGTATCAAATGTCTTTGTGTCATCAAAGACACAAACATATCAAGTCGAGTTTAATCCTCGATTGATATGTTTGGATATGGCGTGCAATGCTGTTGTGATACTGAACCGTATGGTGAGCGGAATCCGTGTTGATAATTTGCAACTGAATTGCTTTCTCTGGGAGAATTAAAGCCTTTGCTGACATCTTTGTTTGGTTTTAGTAGCGGGACCACCCGACCCATTTTTCAAGCTTCAGGATCTAGAAACCTGCCAATACTTTCCCATCAGTAATATCACCCATTTCTCTTTTAGAATACTGGCTAATAGTTCCGTCCTAACATGATAATAATCCTCTCATTTCTAAACATAAAGCCAGGATGCTGTGCAACGCTGTTATGGGCGGAATCCGTGTTGATGCTTGGTAACTAGACTTTAACTAACTTTAACTGATGCTGGGGACAATTAAAGCCTCAAGAGAATTTGCCATTGGCGACACTGATTCGCCTTTCCTGATATCATTGTCTGGCTTCACTAGCAGGACCACTCGGTTCATTTTCCAGGTTTAGGGAACATGGACCCTATTTTCCCAATTACCAATAACACACAATTCTCTATTCGAATACGGGCTTATAGTGTCGTTCTAACAAAATATGAATTCTCTCATGCCTAAATATATAGCCAGGACGCTGTGCAATGCTGTTGTGATGCTGTGTTGTGGGCGGAATCCCTGTTGATGATTGGCAACTGGATAGCTTTCTTTCTGATTTCCAGCTGTTGCTGGGAAGGATTAAAGCCTCAAGAGTCTTTGCTACTGGCAACAAAAGCGAAAGTAAACTGTATGCTTCGCCCTTGCAGGCATCTTTACCTGGCTTTAGTAGCGGGACCACTCAGTCCACTTTTCATGCTTCGGGATCCTGGATCCTGGCTTATAGTTCCGTCTTAGCGAAAATATTATTCCTCTCATGCCTAAACATATAGCCAGGACCATGTACAATGCTGTTGTGATGCTATGTTGTGTTGTGGGTGGAATCACTGTTGATGATTGGCAACTGGATAGCTTTCTTTCTGATTTCCAGCTGATGCTGGGAAGGATAAAAACCTCAAGAATCTTTGCTACTGGCAACAAAAGCGAAAGTGACCTGTATGCTTCGCTCTGGCAGGCATCTTTACCACTCAGCCCACTTTTCATGCTTCGGGATCCTGGATCCTGCTTATTTGTTTCCACCAGAAATAGCATCCATTTCTCTACTGGAATACTAGCTTATAGTTCCGTCTTAGCGAAAATATAATTCCTCTCATGCCTAAACATAAAGCCAGGACGCTACGATTCCACTTTCTAAGCTTCTCCAACAGGCTGGACGTGACGTCGAACCAGACCAGAAAGGCAACAATAACTCGTAGATCTTTTTAGCTCTTACCAGGATAAAGTCTATGTGTCCTTTGAAGTAACATTTCCTAATTAGCAATTAGTATGATAGACTCCGAAATAACAAATCCCAAAGTGGTTATAACATAACTTATTTATTTATCCACATATACAAAGATAAATCAATAAAATAGGATACGGCACACAGTGATGATTAAAAATAAAGTGATATTTATTCCATCCGATGAAGATGCGGTATTCATGGTCTGTGGGTGTTTTTCCTCAAACATTTTGGGTTTGTTTTTTGGAACTCTGGAGAGTGCGTCTACCGCAACAAAATGCCAAGCAATAAGGCTGATTATTACCAAAATTATGCATTCTTTTATTTTCATAGTGTTTTAAGAGCGGCTCTAAAAGATACATAAAAAAATGCAATTTATTAGTTGAATCGAAAATAGAATGAAATGGTTCTAAAAATATTAAGAAACAACAATATTTTTTGTAATAACTCAAATTTATTCTCTGATTACATGTTATTATTCTATTATAGTTACCTTCTAACCGGGGAAAAATATCTTGCACAATGACAAAGTGAAAAAATACGCGCTAAACCGATCCGTTCGATTAGCCCAGCTGATATCATTCTGTCAAAATACATTTGTTTACATTTGGACGTCGCCGTAAAATACTGGTTACTGGTTACTTTTTCTGCTGGAATTGTTCATAATATGTAAGCAAATAATGAATTTTTTTTCTAATTTTTTTTTTTTAACAAAATCTTCTTTTTATATCCAGATTTTAGATCAACTCTTAGTGAAGCAGTGGGTAAAACGATGAGAACCGCTTTTCAAGGCCAAATCAAACCTACTTGTCAAATGAATTCATGAAGAAATACCTATAGCGACAATTCCGAAAAGCATAATACACACCTTCTTAATTTTTATATTTTCAACCCGTGCATTTGGTGACATTTGGCCATTCGAGTCTTCATTTTTATCAAAGTGACGAAGAAACGGAGGCGGGAAGAATGTAAATGCAAGGCTAAGAACGAGGAAGCGAATAGCAGAGAAGAACAAAAAGAAACGGTGGAACAGAAATTCTACGACGGGAAACGAAAAGATGACGAAGAAATCGTCCAAAAATAAAAATAATAAAATTAAAAATTGAGTAACATTGAAGATGACTGACTCCCTGAGAAAAAGAAATGAGAGCAGACGGCTGAGCGGCCTAGAAAAGGTGTTTAATATAAATCTAGCAACATTAAATGAAATGATGGTACGAAGAAGAGTGCTCAAAAGATGAGCTCTTGTTGAGGAGAAGAATCGAACGAAACGAAATGGAGAGAAGAATGCCAATGCATTAAGACGGCTAAGAACGAGGATGCGAATAGAAGATGAGAATAAACAGAAAAGGTGTTTCATATAAATCTAGCAACATTAAATGAAGTGATGGTACGAAGAAAAGTGCTCAAAAGATGAGCACTTGTTGTGGAGAAGAATCGAACGAAACGAAATGGAGAGAAGAATGCCAATGCATAAAGACGGCTAAGAATGAGGATGCGAATAGAAGATGAGAAAAAACAAAACGGAGAAAGTTAAATACCCACGACGGGAGACGAAAAGACGACGAATCAGCGGAAATATGACAGAGAAAACATCCAAAGAATAAATAGAATAATAACATTGAAGATGACAGACTCCCTGAGGGAAAAAATGAGAGTTGACGGTTGAGCGATCTATAAAATATGTTTCAAATAATTTTGGTAATATTAAATGAAATGATGGATTCAGAAGAATGCTAAACAAATTAGAATGATAGGAACATCAAGCGAAACGAAATAGAGAAAGAAGGTGTAATGAACGAGGTTGCAGAATATATTTCCGAGTTAATACAATTCGATTTTCTAAAAAAGCAGAGAAGAGTTATGGATGCTTAAGTGTCCCCGAAGGGAAAGGAAAAGTCTACGACCCAGCGGAATAATGACATCCAAATATAATAATATAAATTTTTTTCTCAACAAAACACAGCTTAGAAAAGAAAAACAACATTGATGATGACTGACTTCCTGAGAAAGATTGGAACATAAAATTTGGAAGCTGCTGAAAAGAGTCAACGAAATCCAGAAAGAAGGAATAATAAACGAGATTGCGGACTATATTGCCGAGTTAACAGATATCTTTAAGCTTAAAGTGCCACAAATGCGGCAGATTTTAAGAAGAGCAGGCCAATGCATCTCTTCAAGATGGCCATGTCGATTATTCCGCAAATTTGGATTAACAGAATTTGATTTTTTAAAAATGCAGTGAAGTATTTGGGAAGCTTTATATGCTATAGAAGCGCTAGAGTTTAAGAAGGGCAGGATTGCCAAGACATCTCTTCAAGATGGGCATGTCGATTATTCCGGAAATTTGCATTTGACATTTAACATGCGATTGGAAGGAGGCGCTGAGAAAGCGGCTGAGGATAAGGTTAGCGGGGTTGCCAAGACATCTCTTTAAAATGGCCATTTCGATTACTCGGCAAAATCGGATTGGAGTGCGGTCCAACGCCATAAAGTAGCAACAACAAAGGATGAGAAGAGCTGGAAGAAGGAGGAATCCACAATGAAGGAGAACACAACATTCGGTTATTCTAAAAAAGACAGCAAGGCAGAAAAGAATAATAAAAAGCAGTACAATACGCAAGCTGACTACAAAATGCAAATTGCGGTGAGTCAGATACACACATATAAGTTAAGTAAAGCTCGTGGATTTTTAAAATTATTGTCCAAAACTCGTGGACATCCTTCCCCAATGGGACTATGTCCCATATGACTATAAATTAATTAATTTATTGTTTCTTCTTTGCAACTAAAAATAATATCAACAATCAGTTCGCGCGTCTTCAACAACCGGAACTCACTTTCCGTCACGGGTAAAATTGGATGTACATATATGCTCCTATACGAACCTCCCCAAATAATGTCCACCCAAAAATGGTATATCGAGCGTAGGGCATTCCGGGTTCCTGGACTCTTTCTGCCGCATTTCGTCCTAACAACGGGTATAATCTCCTAACGCAACGGGTATAAATCTCCTAATTGCCTTTGGTTTTTTACATAAACGCAAGACTGCTTTGTACGTTCGCACATTATTGTTAATGGATGTTAGCACCACTTTCAACTATGATCCAAACTGTGGCCTATCCTCGGGCAAAAGTGCGCCTAAGAAGATGTGGCTGTATTGAGCAAAAGGGTCCAGTAGTACCCTTACTTTAATTGGAGATTCAATTCTTCCAGGGCTGGTGAGATACACCTTAGCCGTCAGGTTCATCCAATATTTGGCATCGTCCAAGGGGTGCATCAAGGTATGGTGCCCCAGCTTACACATACGGCATCCTCTATTCCAACGGCAATGCGTAACCCGATGACCCATTCCAAGGCCTGAGCCTCGAACAAACAAAAACTTGGCGGCTGGTTCGATTTGTAAGAATGTGCGACAGTGTCGCAGGGAAAGTCGTGTACTGCAATTCCAAGCTTATCAAAGCTCATGCATTTTTTAAAAATATTTTCAAGCCCTAACAATGCTCGTGGATGCCTCACACCTACCTCGTTTCCTGCATTTTTTGTTCTGCCTCCCAATGACTTGATCATTTTGATGGAAATAAGTTATATTTCTCACATTAGACGACGGTTGGCTTCTCTTCTCAACTTTACAACACCCAACACACGATTCTTGAAAGCCTTGACAACCTGTTGACGGCCTATCAATTCCACGTTTTGGCCGATCAAAAATTAGCTGGTTGAGGCGATGACTATGATTCATCTTCTCTTATAGCTAAAGAATTCCGTCAAAATAGACCTCCTATGTTTTTCATGCGGCAACTAGGCTAGTTTTTCTAAAGAAAGTGGCGACCATTTGCTTTGAAGTACTTCTTCCCCTATCAATATTCGTTGGATCTGTTTCGACTCAGCACAACCTCACGAGAGATTGCTGTTTTGTTTCGGACTCATACGCATAGATCCATCCACAACATCCTTGCCCAAATTGGCTCGATTTAATAACAGCATTGCTGTATAAAATTCCTTGCATATACATTTGAGTGCGGGTAAGGCAGTGAGTGTAAGGACAAATAACCCTGCAATATTCTCCATTCAATATCAAAGTAGATACGATTAATTGTGTAGCTGCGATTATGTTAAGTTAGATTAGTTTTAGTAGTACTTAAGGAACATATTTTTAAATAAAAACTAGCATCGAATCAACGATCGAACCATAAGGTTGTGTTCTTTTCGCTCGCTTTCTTATATTCGGTCCATCGAGCCGGATGTATAATCCAAACTACATTCGAACCACAAGGTTGTTTTCTTTACTCATTTTCTACATTGATCCCTCCAGCCGGATAGAGAATTGAATCTAAATTTTTAAGAATTTATAACTCGCCACCTCTAGAAACTAGAATCGGTCCTTAAGGTTGTGTTCTTTTCTCGCCTTCTTATATTTGGTCCTTCGAGCCGAATAGAGAATCGAAACTACATTTCAAGCGTAAGGTCGTTTTCTTTTCTCACTTTCTACATTGATACCGCCAGTCGGCTAGAGAATTGAATCTACACCCAAACGAAGCTTCTGTTCTTTTCGCCTTCCCCCAAAGTTCCCTTGTTAACGATATACGTTTTCATACGAAGCTATTCTAAAATCTTCAAACTTAGTACGAACTCTCGGTCTGCTCAGAGGATTAATTTTTGTGGGCTCGGAAGGGTTTCCACTCACGCAATTTCCTGCTGGCACATTTTTGAAGGTGGCTTCCATTAATTTTTTTTAATCGTGACTTCTATAGTTGCCGTTCGAAAACATGGACCACAAATCGACACCGGTCTGTTCAGAGAATTAATTTTTGTGGGCTCGGAATGGTTTCCACTCACGCAATTTACTGCTGGCACATTTTTGACTTCTATAGCTATCAGCTGTTTGCAATATCAGGTATGTTTTTGCATAATTGACAGTGGTCTCTTTTGTCTTTCAGGTTAGCGGATTATGGACACCCCTCCCCTCCATTTTGAGAAGAAATCCATACCCCTGGAATAATATGTGGTCTTGGTCCTGACTAGCAGATGGTATGGAGTCCTTAACTGATTGCCATAAAGTTGACAACAAATTATGAGCCAATAATGGAACCCTCTACTGTCCAGGTGATCATCACATCTCTGTTCACGCTCATCGTTTTTAGTTTAGCATAAATGTATCTCAACCACACCACTCGACTCCATTGGGTTCCATCAAAGTTAGGCATCATCTTTAACATAGCCACACAGACAGACGGACGGACAGACAGTCAGTCCGACATCAGCCCTGTAGCTAGGGTAATATTGATACAATCTCATCTTCACAGTCGATTAAAGTTGCATGCATCAGCATGCCCATGCCCGATGATTTTCCTATGATTTATAAATAATTAATTAAATATGAAAGTAAATCTTTAAATCCAAATATCATCCATCTGCATAGGAATGTTCTGCTAACGAAGCAGTTATACCGAAATGCTAAAAGTGTGTCTTATAACTTTTGGCCTGCTGAAGGCATAAACAAAAGAGAGTGTGTGTGTGTGTTAGTCAGGATGAAGGTTCTCAACAGCACACACACTCACATAAACATATGTACATACGCATTCCTTCTCCGGTTTTGTATGAGAAGACCTTCCATGGTGTTCCATGAGAAGATCTTCTCTGGTCTTCCATGAGAAGACCTTCTCTGGTCTTCTATAAGAAAACCTTCATGTCTTCTATAGGAAGACCTTCTCCTGTCTTCTATAAAATGGCCTCCTAGTCTTCTAAAAAGACCTACTGGTCTCCTATAAGAAGACCTTCTCCGGTCTTCTATAAGAAGACATTCTCCGGTCTTCCATGAGAAGACCTTCTCTGGTCTTCTATAAGAAGATCTTATCCTGTCCTCTATGGGGAGACCTCCTCCTTTCTGTCTTCTATGAGAAGACCTTCTCAGGTCTTCTATAAGAAGACCTTCTCCGGTCTTCTATAAGAAGACATTCTCCGGTCTTCCATAAGAAGACTTTCTCCGGTCTTCCATGAGAAGACTTTCTCCGGTCTTCCATGAGAAGACCTTCTCCGGTCTTCCATGAGAAGACCTTCTCTGGTCTTCTATAAGAAGATCTTATCCTGTCCTCTATGAGAAGACCTTCTCCGTTTTACCATGAGAAGGCCTTCTCTGGTCTTCTATAAGAAGATCTTATCCTGTCCTCTATGAGGAGACCTCCTCCATTCTGTCTTCTATGAGAAGACCTTCTCTGGTCTTCTATAAGAAGATCTTATCCTGTTTTCTATGAGAAGGTCCTCTGGTCTTTTATGAGAAGACAATCTGGTCTTCTTTGGGAAGATCTTCTGGTCTTCTTTGAGAAGACCTTCTGGTATTCTTGTCTTGTACAAAGGGACCATCTGGTCTTTTATTAGAAGGCCCTTAGGTCTTCTATAAGAAGATCTTCTCGTGGTTTCCACAGAGGGACCTTCTAGTCTTCTATGAAAAGACATTCTCTTATCTCCTATGAGAAGAATTTATCTGGTCTTCTAGGAGAATACGTTCTGGTCTTTTATGAGAAGACCCTCTTGTCGTCTATGAGAAGACCTTCTCTGCTTTTCTATGAGAAGACCTTTTGAGATCTTCGGAAGGAACACCTTTTATGGTCTTTTATGAGAAGGCCTTCTGGCCTTCTATGAGAAGACCTTCTGGTCTTCTATGAGAAGGCCTTATCTGGACTTCTATGGACAGACCTTCTCTGGCCATCTGGTCTTCTATGAGGAGACCTTCTCTGGTCTTCTATGAGAAGACCTTTTCTGATCTTCTAAGAGAAGATATTCTTAGGTCATCTATGACTTCCTTCTCTGATTTTCTATGAGAAGACCTTTTGAGATCTTCGGAAAGAAGACCTTCTGGTCTTCTACGAGAAGGCCTTATCTGGTCTTCTATGAGGAGACCTTCTCTGGTCCTCCATGAGAAGACCTTTTCTGATCTTCTAAGAGAAGATATTCTCTAGTCTCCTATGTCTTTGCTTTGAATAATATGGAGTTAATCCTTTCCATTTTAGTACCACCTCTTTAGGCTTTACATATTGACTTCACTAAGTCCACATTGACTTCGAACATTTACACTTACTTTCACATTTTGCCAAATTTCAACCTGAAGGCAGGATAAACTATTGCTGAGGTATTCGAATTTATGCCTGTGTGTGTGTGTGTGTGGACTTTGTCTTGAGCACAAGGACACATTTCGTTCAGTTCTGCCCATAATGTTCAGTTGTTAGGAGATAAGTGGAAAAGAGTTCTGTTTTTGGCAGTAATGTTGCAGTGCTAATTTAGCCATGTCTAAGCTCGACTAATACAAACAAATGTGGATGGTGTGTGTGTGTGTGTGTGTTGGTTAGTAAGTGTGTTGCATAGAGGACTCTCTGGCCCAGGGAATGTAACAGTTTAGAAGTAAATTGTTAAGTAGGCATTTCTTAATTGGATTTTCATTGGTTTTTTTTTGCAATTTTCTTCAGGACCCAAGGACATGCCGAGGCAACTAAAATTGTGACACTAATCGAAATATGGGAAATCAAAGAGATACATTCTACTCTTTTGGAGCCTCAATTGGATATAGTTTCATTCATTTCTCAAAGAAATAAAAAATTATATGGCCTTTAAATTTTCCGACTACTTCGGGTATATTTTGCCCACCACTGTAAGCGTAGCCTGCCATTAGCGAGCACATTAAATATTTATGTCTGCATAAGTGTAACACACATCTCATTTTAACAAAATATTCATTATGAATGTAATCAATTAATGGCAATAATTTTAATTGTTTTAAATTGCAGAATATTTATTCAAAAATATTTATGCTCACATCGGAATTTAATATGCAAAGCCATTTGATTAGTAATATTTTAAAAATCTCATTTATTGTTTTGCCAATGGTCGAGGACTCAGAGAGGGAAAACGGAGGACAGGGAATCTTCCGGTCTTCTATGAGAAGACCTTCTGGTCTTCTATGAGAAGACCTTCTCCTGTCTTCTATGAGAAGACCTTCTCCTGTCTTCTATGAGAAGACCTTCTCCTGTCTTCTATGAGAAGACCTTCTCCTGTCTTCTATGAGAAGACCTTCTCCTGTCTTCTATGAGAAGACCTTCTCCTGTCTTCTATGAGAAGACCTTCTGGTCTCTTCTATGAGAAGACCTTCTGGTCTCTTCTATGAGAAGACCTTCTGGTCTCTTCTATGAGAAGACCTTCTGGTCATCTATGAGAAGACCTTCAGGACTTCTATGAGAAGACCTTCTGGTCCTCTATGAGAGAAGACCTTCGGGTCTTCTATGAGAAGACCTTCGGGTCTTCTATACGAGAAGACCTTCGGGTCTTCTATGAGAAGACCTTCTGGCCTTTTATGAGAAGACCTTCGGGTCTTCTATGAGAAGACCTTCTGGCCTTCTATGAGAAGACCTTCTGGTCTTCTATGAGAAGACCTTCTGGTCTTCTATGAGAAGACCTTCTGGTCTTGTGGTCTTCTGTGAGAAGACCTTGTGGTCTTCTATGAGAAGACCTTCTGGTCTTCTATGATAAGACCTTTTGGTCTTCTATGAGAAGACCTTCTGGTCTTCTATGAGAAGATCTTCTGGTCCTCTATGAAAAGACCTTCTGGTCTTCTATGAGAAGACATTCGGGTCTTCTATGAGAAGACCTTCTGGTCTTCTATGAGAAGACCTTCTGGTCTTCTATGAGAAGACCTTCTGGTCTTCTATGAGAAGACCTTCTGGTCTTCTATGAGAAGACCTTCTGGTCTTCTATGAGAAGACCTTTTGGTCTTCTGTGAGAAGACCTTCTGCTCTTCTGTGAGAAGACCTTCTGGTCTTCTGTGAGAAGACCTTCTGGTCCTCTATGAGAGAAGACCTTCCGGTCTTCTATGCGAAGACCTTCTGGTCTTCTATGAGAAGACCTTACCCTGTCTTCTATAAGAAGACTTTCTTCTGTCTTCTGTGAGAAGACCTTCTGAGAAGAACTTCTGTCTTCTTCCTTCTTGTCTTCTATGAGAAGACCTTCTGGTCTTCCATGAGAAAACCTTCTGGACTTCCATGAGAAGACGTTCTAGTCTTCTATGAGAAGACCTTCTGGTCTTCTATGAGAAGACCCTCTGGTCTTCTATGAGAAAAGCTTCCGTTATTCTGTGAGAAGACCTTCCGGTCTTCTATTAGAAAATCTTCTGGTCTTCTCTGAGAAGACCTTCTGGTGTCTTCTATGAGTAGACCTTGTTGCCTTCTGTGAGAAGATCTTCTGGTCTTCTATGAGAAAAGCTTCCGTTATTCTGTGAGAAGACCTTCTCCTGTCTTCTATGAGAAGACCTTCTGGTCTTCTGTGAGAAGACCTTCTTGTCTTCTATGAGTGGACTTTCTGGTCTTCTGTGAGAAGACCTTCTGGTCTTCTGTGAGAAGACCTTCTGGTCTTCTGTGAGAAGACCTTCTGGCCTGCTATGAGAAGACCTTCTGGTCTTCTATGAGAAGACCTGCTGGTGTCTTCTATGAGAAGACCTGCTGGTGTCTTCTATGAGAAGACCTTCTGGTGTCTTCTATGAGAAAACCTTCTCCTGTCTTCTATGAGAAGGCCTTCTTCTGTCTTCTATGAGAAGACCTTCTCCTGTCTTCTATGAGAATACCTTCTCCTGTCTTCTATGAGAAGACCTTCTCTTGTCTTCTATGAGAAGACCTTCTGGTGTCTTCTATGAGAAGACCTTCTGGTGTCTTCTATGAGAAGACCTTCTGGTGTCTTCTATGAGAAGACCTTCTCCTGTCTTCTATGAGAAGGCCTTCTCCTGTCTTCTATGAGAAGACCTTCTCCTGTCTTCTATGAGAAGACCTTCTCCTGTCTTCTATGAGAAGGCCTTCTCCTGTCTTCTATGAGAAGACCTTCTCCTGTCTTCTATGAGAAGACCTTCTCCTGTCTTCTATGAGAAGACCTTCTCCTGTCTTCTATGAGAAGACCTTCTGGTCTTCTATGCGAAGACCTTCTGGTCTTCTATGCGAAGACCTTCTGGTCTTCTATGAGAAGACCTGCTGGTCTTCTATGAGAAGACCTTCTGGCCTTCTATGAGAAGACCTTCTGGCCTTCTATGAGAAGACCTTCTGGTGTCTTCTATGAGAAGACCTTCTGGTGTCTTCTATGAGAAGACCTTCTGGTGTCTTCTATGAGAAGACCTTCTGGTCTTCTATGAGAAGACTTTCTGGTCTTCTGTGAGAAGACCTTCTGGCCTTCTATGAGAAGACCTTCTGGCCTTCTATGAGAAGACCTTCTGGCCTTCTATGAGAAGACCTTCTGGCCTTCTATGAGAAGACCTTCTGGCCTTCTATGAGAAGACCTTCTGGTCTTCTGTGAGAAGACCTTCTGGTCTTCTATGAGAAGACCTTCTGGTCTTCTATGAGAAGACCTTCTGTCCTTCTATGCGAAGACCTTCTGGTCTTCTATGAGAAGACCTTCTGGTGTCTTCTATGAGAAGACCTTCTGGTGTCTTCTATGAGAAGACTTCTGGTGTCTTCTATGAGAAGACCTTCTGGTGTCTTCTATGAGAAGACCTTCTGGTCTTCTATGAGAAGACCTT